TCAAGTGATCTCCCTCTGGAATCAACATTTAGTGCTGAACTCGAACCTGAGATCTCGCCAGAATCTTTTCTGCGCACCTCCTCAGTCAAAATCAAATCACGAATATCTTCAAATTTTAGTTTAGATTTACCTGCAGAATTACTGACAGCCATCCTCATAGCTTCCCAGCTATTTGACAATGAAGCCAACAAGATCAGTGCACGTATCTCATCATCAAATTCAATTTCCACAGACGATAATTGATTTGTGATGGTATTGAAATCGTTCAAGTGTTGTACAACAGACGTACCTTCCACCATCTTCAAATTGAATAACTTATTCATCAAATATATCTTGTTATTCGCCGATGGCTTTTCATACGTACCTGACAGAGCTGTCATAAGATCTGCAGTCGTCCTCTCCTTGACGACGTTGTGTGCAACGGACCTCAATAGAGTCAATCGAATAACCCCCAGAACCTGTCAATCCAACAGATTCCATTCAGCTCATCCATCCTTTCAGGTCTTTTCCTCAATAATACAATAACGGAAGATGAAGTTTCTTCCCATAGAGGTAGACTTCTGTCTGCATCCTCCAATAACCAAAATCTGTGCCATCGAACTTCTCGATCTCTGAAATCATCACTTCGTCTGTAGTCATTGGCTCTGATACCAGTTGTTGTGGTATATATATAATTGAAAAACGATTTACTAATTGAGGAAATTTACACCAGTTTGATCACAACAACAATTAAGGATCTCTCACTTGCTCTTTCTCTTTACACCAAGATTCACCCAAGAGCAAGAACACCAAAGAAGAAGAAAAATATACAAGAGAAAGCCTGTTTCTCTTTTTCCACAAGTCACCGAGAAGAACACCTTCTTCTTCCCAATCTTCTTCTTCCGTCTCCTGCTTCAACGCAAATGCTTTCTCTGCGCGTGACTTCTCTCTCTTGCGAATAGGAAAGCCGTGCGATACATTTTATCGCCAACAGAAAGTGGGAACGGTTTTGCAATCGAGCAGGAGCGGGAGGAGTCGCGACCTTTCGCGACAAAGGAGTAACGGGCAAAGCGACGCGAAGCTTCACGCGCGCGGGAGCAGACAGAGGTGTCGATTCGCGAAAAATGGAGGAGGCGGGAGCGGGAGATCGCGATTCGCGATCGCAGGAGTGGAAGAGGGTCGTACCGGGCTCCACTTCTAACAGGTCAAGATCAGATCAGCTTGCGCACATCTACTATATACATTTGAATTTTTCAATGAGTTTGTATTCAGCCCTGATGCGGGGCGCTGTTATTAGATTTGAGTTCAACTTTTCTCTGGGGTTATATTTCGTGATGCTAAAAATTGTATGTTTTCAATTTGTTTTGAAGGGAGGTGATCGTGATATATTTAGCTTCTAAATCTTTGTATGGTCCGTTCATTAATGGTTTGTAGGAAATGATTGAAGGATTTGGAGAGGCTGGCCTGTGTGCGTTGATAGGAGAAAAAATATGCTAATCATGAATCTAGACGAGGAATGTGCTGTTTGCGAGTTTATTCAAGTAAAAGATGGAGAGTTTATCATCTTAACAATGCAAAAAGAAAAAAGAAGATGCACATTTTCTAAATTTACCAGCATGCAAAACTAACATGATAAACTTTTCATCTATTGCTAGGTGAACAGGAGGAAGTGCATCGAACTTTGGTGGTTGAAAAATATCAAACTCGAACATTATTTGGTGGCTGGCATCAATCCATAAGGAATGTCAGAAGTTGGGTTATAATGGGACTCGAATTTGGCTGTTGTCATAATCTGAGTGGTTACCAGTCACCAAAAAAAAACAAGCATCAATCAACTAGAAATGTTAGAAGTTGGACAATGATCAATAAGGAATATCAAAAGTTTGGTGATCATGCATGGGTGATTGGTTATTCTCCTAATGAGAGTAGAGGGAAGGTAATGAGTAAGATATATATTTGATGTTAGTGGTTGATGGACATTAGTCTTAAGGATATGTCAAATACCAGTATCAGCGTACATAGGATTAGTCAAACAAGGGAGTTAGTATTCAAGAATGGATGGAAAATTAGCTTGTTCATTGTGAGAATGTCTGTCATTGAAATTTTTTTCTATAATTACCTTCTGTTTTAATTTTTTGCAAAAAAATGTAAGATGATCAATCAATGCTCCTGAAGAATACAAAAATGTTTACAATTTTCCTAAAGTTTACTTAGAAAAGTAACAAAAATTTCTTTAACAAAAGATAAAACCATGAGTAGTGATCAACGTTGTTGCTTTGAGCTCCAACCTTTCTTTGAAAAAGAGATTGATTTTTTTCATTTGATGAATTCAATTCAAGATGCTGGGCTTTTCTTGCCCCATTTTTGAGGCATTGATTTTTATTTCAAAAGAGGTTAATTACCCACAAACTTAGCTTCTAATGAAAAGGAGATGGATGTCAACATGGTGATATTCAATGAATGAGGTGGCTTGAAGATGATGCTAAAATGAGATTAAATTGAGAAAGTTGTTGGTTTGACAAACAACCTATTTTTCACATTTATTTGATAGATTTTGTAATAATCCCTTTTTTTCTTACTTTTTTTCTTGTCAATTTTGGTTGACATTTTTGTTGTAGATTATTTTCCGTGCATACACTTCTCCAAAAAATTTTAATGCAAGCCTCCTCATCTTGATTTAAAAAAAAAATAAAAAATAAAAACAAAAAATAAAAGAAATAAAATACTTTAAATTTTTGTGTATTGAAACTTTGATAGTTTTTAATTTGATAAATTTCAGCTATCAAATCAAGAATTATTATTTTTTGTGTATGTTGCAGATATCACTAACTTTATCTATGAATTTTTTTCTTTTCACCTGATATCATTTTATAGACGAAGAAATTTCAAAATTATGATTTTGCTGAATGTCTTTTGGTGGTTAGACCTTTAAAATTTGTTGTGATTTAAGTGTTTCTTGAAATTAGCCAAAAGTTTTTATGACTTTTAACATAATATGCATATTCTTCTAAACTTTCTTAAGAACTTTTCTTCAAAGTGGTTTTTGGCAAAATATTGATGTTGTTGTTAGGCAACCTTTGCACTATTGATATATTAACATATATTCAGGGGGTCAAATGAGGAAGTTTTTTTATATTTTTGATGTCATTAGAAGAGTACTTTGATCTATGTATTTTATACATTTCAATGACGCCAAAATGGTGCATGCGATGACACATGATGCGACTTGGTGCTCCATTGAGGACGTTTCCATGTGGCGGCACTGCGCCCCAATGGCATGCTATTTGCACCATACATAGATAATAGTGCATTACACATTGCTCCCATTGCACACTAAGTTGATTTTTTAGATTTAATATAAAGGCAAAGAAAATTTTTCATACAATTTAATTCTTATATATTTGTATATTTGACAACAACAACAAAGCCTCAATCCCACTACGTGGGGTCAGCTACATGTATCATTTTTCTTTGTATATTTGACATGTAAAATTTAATATTTTTTTATATAGCTTATCAAAAATATAAATTCTAATATTTTAAAGTGAATACGCCTTTTACATGAAAATATGTTTAATGTAATTATGACTCAAAATGCTATACATATAAATATTAAATTTTTGGTGCTGAATATGTAGATATATAAGAATTAAATTTTAGGTGTTGAATATGTAAATATATAAGAATTATGTATTATGTATGTAAATTTGGTATGGATGTGTACCCACACATTCATACATACATATGTACATTTGTGGGGCAAAAATTTGCTCAAATTATGTCGTTTTGCATAATAGTGAGGTCCATTTGTTTGATGATGAGGATGATGAAGCTTTTGCTTTATGGGTTTAGAATGATGTTGATAAAGGAAATAATATTTGTTTAACTTATGATTCTAATAATAAGTTTTTGGATGACCAATTTGATTGCTTATGAATCTATTAGATTTTTTTAAAAAAAAAACATAATATTTTAAGTTGTAACTAATTGAGGTATTAAGCACTCTACTCTAAGCATTGTTTATGTTGTTTTTATTATGAGATCTTATCTTTTAATTAATTTTTTCTCATATTTATCTGAATATTTTTTATATTTTAAAATATTTTATGTAATATTTAAAATGGCGCATGCCACACAATGCGTTGTGGTCTCCATGGAGTCCTTTTATGCTATGACACGCCATTCACCATTGACAATTATGATGCATTCCATAGACCTTAAGACATTTAGTTTAGGACCATTAACAGTTGCTTTAGATCTATGATAAAAATAAGCGTGAAGATTCTCCTTCCATGTGGAAGCCTCAGGGTGAAGGGAGAAACATGATTTGGATGATATAGAAAGCTTTTTATTTATTTTCTTTATATAACCATATTTGGCTGCACATCTTGTAGGAAAAGTAATTTGATTAAGGCGGGGGAATGATAACATTTGTCATTATTATGTTTAGCACTGCCAGTTATCTCTTAGCTGCACCAACCTTTGCTTGGAGAATTTTTGTGAATGTCAGTGTAGTTACATTAGGGTGATAGCCCATGGTTCGCTTACCCTTAAATTCATACCATGAGATCTTGCTCAGGGCTAAAGATATTTTAGTTATAGTTTAATCAAAGTCCCTAAACTATTAGCTTGAGTTCTTCTCAAGTTGTAGTTCCTAATGAAAAAAGTTGTGATAAATTTCCTAAGGATTTAAGCCTACCTTAGGCTGTCAATTTAGTGTGTTTTTCCCATAATCTTAACCTGTAGAGGGTGAGTTTGAGTAAATTCCAATAAAGCTTTTTAATTTATCCTAGGTGATTTGTCAGAGCATTACTCAATAACTTATAGAAAGAGTGGTTAAGGGAAATTTATTAATAATTTTTATTATCTATTCTAGGTTGTTCATCATTGTATTATTTGATGATTTTAACCTATGATGAAATATATTTAAAGAAATTTACAAAAAAATTTTTTTGACCTACCCTAATTATTCATTAGAACGTTACTCGATGATTTAAAAAACATTTAACTTATTCAAAATTATTTGTCAAAGTGTTGTTTGTTAATTTTAATCCATAATTTTGTCAGAATATTACTTAGGGACTTCAACTTGCACCGAAAGCGGTCAGTAGAAATATACGAAGAATTGTTTGTTTATTATAAGTTGTTTATTAGAGTATTACTTGATGATTTTAACTTTTTATAAAATGGGTCAGACTGAATCCTGTTGGATGACTGATTATAACTTGATTGGGATGTGACAACCATCATATGTTTCTCGATTCAAGGCAAAAAATTGTTTTTTCTTTAGATCATTGCTATAACTCTATTCATATAGGACTCTGATAGAAGATTGTATGTGAAATCTAGATTATATTGGAGTTTCTTGTATAACTTCTAAGAATCCTTAGAAAATTGTAGTTTAGTTAAATTTTCTTAAAATATTATTACTCATTGATGTTAATGTGGACATCTCATAGAGATTTATCTTCAGTTAGAATTTTCAGCCAACTTTGGGTTGTAGTTGCTAATATTATAAACAAATTTTGGTTTTTTAATAGAAGTGGGACTGCCATAGATACGTTGACAGCGGTGAAGGAAATAAGTTGCCTCGCCTACAGCACCAACATTAACTATTCATATCTAGAGATGTTGATATAATCATAATAAACATGAAATATGAAAGATTTTTTCTGTGATGGTATTAGGATTTTTGGTGTGCTTTGAGTGGTCATCAGGCAATGACTGTCAAATGTTTGTTAATTAGGGACATTGTATGACAGGAAATACAGGGCGATTGGCTTGGTTATTCTTCAGATAGAAGTGTATATCAAGAATCGGGAGAATAGACATCAAACATCAATGGTTGATGTACATTGTATGTTGTTCATTGGGTATTTTTAGGTGCAGTTGATGCTGAATGCCAAATGTTGAGAAATAATGGGCAATCCATTTTCTTTCTCCTAATGACAGGAGAGACCAAACGAGGAAGAATATGGGTTTTTGATGTCACTGGTTGATAAGCGATCATCATTGGCAAGTGTTGGAGATTGGCAATCAAAAATGAAAGTTAGAAGTCAAGCAATGATAGGCAATAAATGGTGGCCGGTCAGTTTGATTATTTACTTTATAAGAGGGGAGATCATTTGATCTATATAACAGGCGTCAAACGACAGTGGGTGACATATGTTTGGAGTTGGTTGTGAGTAGTTGTCATATAATGAT